CACCCTAAGATAAGTAATGGGAGACCATACACCGTAGTCACCAGGGCTTCAGCCAAATTATGCAAACGGGTGGAGGTGGTGGACACTCGCATACCGGTCTTGAAGACCAGGGTAAATATTCCCTGCGTGGACAGATTGCCCATGTCGCCGCAGCCCTACAGTGAAACTGTGAAAAGTCAACTAAGCGGGTGTGACTCCATCCCTGTTAACATGACTAGGTTAATACAGCCGAGTGGTAAATCTGCACGAAGTGAGAATAGTATAACACCTATATCCACAGTAGGCCTTGAAACAAACAGGAAGGCCAATAAGAAACGTTCACGACGTCGCAGGACGACGAAAACGTTCCTCAAAAAGGCAGACGATTGCAAGGTCTGCAATTCTATTGTCGAACAAGTAGACTCTGCTTTCGAATGCAACTTTTGTAAGCAATGGGTACATTGTAGATGTGACACCGGGGTACCAAAGGTATATTACGATTTTATGCGTAAGAACCCATGCCCATGGTTCTGGTACATATGCCCAAGTTGCCGTCCTAATGCAGCCTCGTGCAGTTCCTCGAAAGCTAAAGATGGCATAGAGGTATCAGGAAAAAACGTGAAACGTTTTACTCCCACCAACTCAGAAAACAGCACAATTGCATGTAAATCGGGGATACCAAAATCCACACCGGTTATACTTGCAATTCCTGCCATAACTGCCCCAGACACAGAGGTTGAAGCACCAGGGGTATCTGTCACTGGGAAAAGACCCTTACCGTCCACCAGTAATAGCGGCACTGTGACACACAATAATACCCAGTCGCACCAGACGAAACAAGACGGTCTTAAAGGGGATGAAAAATGTGCGAGGACCGAACCTAAATCCACGGTTAGTAGATCAAACTGTGTAATCCTCTTTAATGTACCAGATTGTAGTAGTAGTCTACTGGAAAATAGGGCCCTGTTTGATCAGGAACAGTGGTCCAACTTATGTAGCACACTGGATCTGGACATCCAACCAGTAAAACTATGCAGATTGTATGGGGGCACTGGTGCTCCTCAAGGCAAACCATCCCCACTGAGGGTAACACTGGGCTCTACCGAGGATGCCGAAAAAGTTTTACTGACTTCCCAAGTCCTTTCTATAGGGAGGACCTGCAATATATGTGTTAGGCCAGATAGGCCATGGAAGGAAAGACAGATGGCGAGGGAGTTGCCAGAGCTTATTCCTTCTGCCTCAATGGTTGTTCACGGCATTCCCGAACTGGTGACTGGGAACGCTTGTGAGAAGCACTGTCACGATGTACAACAATGGAGATGGTTGGCATCCCAGATGGCTCTATTTATAGACTGCCTCGACCCACTCACCTTATGTCAACTAACACGCCACGTCTGTTAGCTGTCAAGTTCAGCCCCCGAGACCACTTGACTACTGCTCTCCAGAGATGGTACGAGACCAAGGACAAGGTCAGCAGACACATTCGCTGCTGCGAGAGCCGGCCTCGTATCCAAAGGAGAGAACAAAACGTTGTCATAGAACATCCCCAACCCCTAGTCACAATACAGCGGTGCAGCACGGACGATGATAGCCAGTGTCATCCAAGTGCTCCGATTGAACCAGAAGAAAAAAACGCCAACAGGCCGGTTCCCGGGGGATCGGCCAACTAGTTCGTAGGATAACTCCTCAACCGACAGCCCACATCACGTCAACCACCTCCCAATACGGGGAAGTGGTGAGACTGACTACCAGTTGCCTGTACAGTAATGTGAGAGGGCTAAGAGGCAAAATAGCTGAACTTAGATACCTACAATCACAGCTGAACTCAAAAATCATAATACTGACGGAAACCTGGCTAACCCCTACGGTGGCAGACAGCGAAGTCAGTATAAATGATATGGTCCTAGTCAGACGAGATAGGGACCTGAAAGAAGGAGGTGGAGTCGCCATATACATCGACAAACAGCTCAGATGTGTTCATGCAATGAACCCTCCCCTCACTGAGCTCCCTGACTCCATATGGTGCCATTTCACCGTTGGGTACTGTAAATATCTAGTGGGCAGCATTTATCGATCACCTTCATGTGGAGCAGACCACAACCAGGTACTGCTGAATACAATTTCAGCGACACAAGACATGGGTTATGATCAAATTGTCATAGCTGGAGACTTCAATGCCCCATCTCTTAACTTGATGACGGGATATGCCCATGATAGATTTGATCGAAATCTGCTGCATACCATCAGGGAGGCCGGATTCACTGAAAATGTCAGAATGGATACTAGATGGGGCCCAGATGGGAAGTCTTCTAGACTGGATTATGTGCTCACTAGTGACCAGCTACTAGTGGAAAACGTTCAGATCACGACTCCCATAGGTAGTAGTGACCACGCGATCATAACGTTCGACATAGTCCTCCGCGAGCGTTTACAGTGGGACAATACACAGCCCTATCTGTGTTATAACAAAGTTAATTACACCAAAATGCCAAGACTTTTGTCTGAAGCAAATTGGCCAAAAAATTGGACAGAGCTTACAGTAGAAGAACACTGGGGAGTGGTAAAGGAGATCATTCACCAGGCGGTCTCAGACACTGTTCCTCTAGTCACACCAAAACCTATGAAGCAACGTTCATGGCTAAAAAGGGGGACACAACGCCTTCTACATGCGAAGCGAAAAGCCTGGTTTGCGTGGCGAGTATCGAAGAGTCAACCCGAACATGAAGTGTACCTCGAACTCAGGAATCGATGTAACATACGAGTCCGGAGTGATAGAAGGACATTTCAGAGAAACCTCGCCAATAAGCTTCTCGTGAACCCCAAAAGCCCATATAGGTTTATGTCTGAAAGAAAACCGACCAACCAGGGAGCTTGCAATCTAGCGGGTTCTGATGGGAAATCTCTTACTAGTCTTGAAATGGCAGAGACATTCAGTCTAGCCTTTCACAGGCAACTGAGCAGTAACGAGGATTTTACCCCCACGAAACATCAAGATTACAATGCAAAACAAACGTGCGAAAACCTGCTGGGTACATTTCAAATCACCCCGGCTATGGTACTCGTAAAATCGGGAAAGTTGGTTTCGGGAAAGTCTGCAGGTTGCGATGACATAAGACCATCCGTCCTGAAGCAGTGTTCAGAAAGTCTCTGCCAACCCCTAAGTGACCTGTTTCAACACTCCTTTGATGTAGGGAAACTTCCATGTGAATGGAAACGAGCCATCCTATCCCCGGCAGAATGCGACCAGTTACAGACCAGTTGCGCTACTTCCAGTGATATCGAAGATATCGGAAAGTCTCATTGACGACCACATGAGAAAATACTTCGACGGGACTAACCTACTCCATGAAGCACAGCACGGTTTCAGGAGGGGAAGATCCTGTGTGACGAATCTTCTACTAGCTTGGAACAATTGGACACTATCCTGGGATGTAAAGGTACCAGTCCATGTGATCTTTCTCGACTTTGCGAAAGCATTCGACACAGTTCACCATGGTCTGCTCCTTCACAAAATAAGCATGGCGGGTACTTCTGGAGCACTTCTCGCATGGCTGAGAGATTACTTAGGCGAGAGAGAATTCTGCACCAAAGTCAACCGCATCCGATCATCCTGGCACACCTCGACATGAGGGGTTCCTCAGGATTCTATCTTAGGGCCATTGATGTTTTTGATTTTTATCAACGACCTACCCTGTCAACTGAACTGCTCTGTGCTTCTTTACGCTGACGACGTAAAGATTTGGAGAGCAATAAGCTCATCGGAAGACTCCGACAGATTGCAGGCTGACCTGCAAACTCTAGGAGACTGGGCTTTGGCTAACGGAATGCCTTTCAACCTAAAGAAGTGCAAAGTAATGCAACTTCATTCCGGCAGGTCACAGAGTGTTAATTACATCCTTGGTGGCCAGAACTTGAGTTGTGTGCCATCAGAACGCGACCTAGGTCTTATTTTAACAGAAAAGCTAGACACCAGTGGAAATTACACCAGGGACGTCACCAAAGCTTACGCAACTTTACACTTTATGCATAGGCAGCTGGGAGCTCTTACTCCCGAACTATTCCTAAGGTTGTATACGACATATGTGAGGCCACTCCTTGAGGTGCATAATATCATTGCTCCTCCGCTACTCAAAAGGGATGCTAACATTCTAGAAAGTGTCCAGAGACGAGCGACAAAATGGGTGATGGGCCTCCGCAACAAATCATATGAGGAAAGACTGAAGAAATTAAGGATTTTCACACTTAGTTACCTTAGTCACAAGGGAGACCTCATCACCGTCTATAAGATCTTAAATGACCAGGCCCACCCTAATAAAAGCATTCTGCCATTAAGTGATTATAGGCTTCCACGAGGTAACCCGATAAGGATAGCACACCAAAGACCAAAGACTCGAGTGCGTTCACATTTCTTTTCGCTTCGAGTTAGCCGTCTCTGGAACGCTTTACCGGCGGCCGTGACTACAGCTCCATCTGTGGAGACTTTTAAGCGGAAGCTGGACAATCATGCAGAAATGCATGGTTTGTGTCTCAATGGCTTATCCTCTTAAAATTTGAAACCACACTGCCAATGGATTGGCATACAAGCTAAATCCCCACGACCCGTCCTGTCTTCTCCCACTGTACCGACCACTCTATCTTTTCTTTTCCTTCTTTCTTTATTATTTCACCTTTATTATTTCACTTATCTCAACCTATATTATCTACACTACAACCTATTATTATTCTACTTTTATGACTACACCGAATGACCAACGGGTGTTAGGTCAAACTTCATTCACGGCAGCAATTGAGTCCTAAAATACTGCACACTACAAACCACAATCTTGACCAATCCTCGCACCACTCCTCTTGGAGTCCACCAGAGCTAAAGCAGTCGAGTTGCGGGATTTACTACGCATAAGTTCACCGAAGATCTGGAACCTCTACCTTAAAATCAAGAAGCGAGCTCAAAGAAATCACTGGTTTATGCTAGCTCGTAATCAGGATATTGGATATTGGAGTGTTGTTCTACTGTTTCACAACTCAAGGACTTGGCGCTATAGTCTGTCTGAAGGTCATGCCCATTTGTCGGTCTTGCTCGTGGAATTTTTGATGACGTCAAATGGATAAGGATTCTAGTGAGGCACAAAAGCTACAGATGACTCTGGCTGAAAAAGGATCTGTATTTTCATCCGCAGAAATACAAGAAATTTTAGAAGTCCTCAGAGAAGTCTCTCTGAAACTTATCATAACAAACGTCCCACCAGAAGTTTTCAAGTACAGCATTGCACAGGTTTGTTATATCTAGTCACTTTATTTTCCTAAGGAATCATTTGAGGAATTATTTAAGTCGTTTGATAATCAGTCCAAATTTGTGTATCTACCAAGCTTTCAAAGGGTTTTGGTAAGTTTAGAGCATTTCTTATATATATTTTAATGACACCATTATGAATTTCCATAATAGTTTACTCAATGCTGCAGGGATCAGTTATTAATTAGAACTGTAAGAACTTTATTAGCAAACCTTTCCTGCCTAACAATAATGATATCTATTTTTCAAGTTCTTACTGAACCATCCAACAAGTAGTCTCCGGTCATTTCAAAAACTGAAACGGTTACTAAACTCAAAAGGTCTCAGGTTTCAGTCGAACTGGTCACTAAATCGAAATGATCCTATCTACTCTGCAGCGGTTAGTTGAATGTCGCGCGCGATTTTATCACAGCCTACCTTCCATACCAAATATCTGTAGCTCTGTTAATTACGGTCATTGGTGTTATTTTATACTTACAAAAGCCAAAGGTGAATGAAATGGCTACAAGGTTTGAAAAATAACATGTGGTATTGCAGACTATTACTGCTCTAAAAATACTAGTTTTAGATTTGCAGGTATTATCTGATGGACTCATTTGACAGCTGAGGGCAAATAACCCTAAATACACTTTAAAGGAACAACTATTCCTCGGTCCAATTTACACTACGTTGATTATGACTTGCATTGATTTGGAACAAAGCTTATTTCATATAATTAAATATATAGGGACTCCTTCTCATGTATAAATTACCAGTTGTGCATGGTGAAATCGATCTTAGGCTTTACAAACTAAAAATAATGTAGTCGAACTTTCATGCATGTATTGATGATCTGACTTGTAGTAATAGTGCAAAGCACGTCCTCTAAGCATACATTTCAGTTTACTTTAATCGTATTAAAGAATTTCATTTTGTGATATATCTCATTCTGTTGATGGAAAATCTCATCCACAGTGATTTTTCAGCCAATATGTCTTCCTCTAAACCTCACTAAGAACAAATTCACTTCATTGGATCTAGTCTAATTGCAAGTAGATTTAAGTTCATTTATTTCACATTAGTTTATAAGAGGGGAAGTCAGTAAGTTTAGATAGCACAGATTACAAAATGAATAGTTGGTTTATGTCATAAACATGTACTTCGTCCTAATCACTTCATTTCTTGTGAGACCAGTTCGTATAAAATAGAAATGTCGCTCTCAAAATTCATTCTACAACTCAAAATGTAAACGATTGCTCATCTCAATTCTTAATAAAATAAAATAATTCAAAAAGGTGCTTTTATGAGGCGATGTGCTTGTACTTCTCACTAAGGCACTACACAATATATCTCAATGACCAAAATCAAGGGCTGTTGCTGCTACTGACGAACACTTGTATCTGTGTGTTCTTGTACCTGTCAATGGTTGAAGGTCTGGATTTTATTTTGTTGACTTGGGTTGGCTGTATTCAGAATTTATGTTTTCTCATAGTTGTCAGTATGCGCCGGTTGTTCGAGAGTAGAATGGCAGCCACGCATGTGGTTCGGGGCTCGATTTCCTGCCAGCACACCCCCGGGTAATAAGCCCGGAATGCAGGAAAGATTTAGCATGTGGCTAGCAACCCTATCTCATAGAAACAACTCAAGCGCTACTGAATCTCCAAAGCTTGAATCCCTATATTCCTATCGCAATGCAAAGGAAAGTGAAAACTATAGTTATCAATAGATACAGATTTCACTTGATAGTCTTTGTTAATAAAGGCTAATTGAATATTGTTTCAGATATACATGAACCGACCAGAAGCCGCATTATTGGCACGTTTGCAGACACAAGGCTGGAAACTCCCTGAACATATTTATGCTAGCATTCCAGATAGTTCAATAAATGTGAATGATAATGGAATTAATTGTTACATTGGACACTTTGGTGATAGTGTAGATTCTGACGAAATGGATGAAGATGAAGATATTTGTGATTGTTGTGAAAGTCCTGAAGGTTCTGTTGGAGATGATGATTATGTGGAGGATAATGAACCAGACGACTTCAAAGGAAATACAGATTTTCAGACGGCTTCAACAGGCAACAGCAAATTGTCGAACCGAGATACGAGTGAAATAAGCTCAATTCATTCCCTTGAATTTATTGCTTCACCTTCTGTGCCTCTACAGAGTGTCAGTAGTGGTGGCAGTTTTGGAGCAAATCGAACTAGAAGTACTCCTGAATTCGAAAGTACAAGTGAGGCCTCTGGTGATGATAATACAATAATACCATCTTGTGTAAATGATGGCCATTTGCGACGAATATTGTGTAAACATGGCAAGTACAAGCGTCGTCGTGCACGTGGTTCAATGAAACACTTAGCCCCACCAAAACCTTCTCGATTATTTCTGCTTTCACCACCTTGTTCACCTCCTGTCGGCTGGGAACCGAAACCAGAATCTGAACCTGTTATTAATTATGAACTCTTACAGGCCTTAGCGTCATTAGCACCAGGTACGTTTATTATTTCACTTTTTTATGTTTTCATTGTCAGTATTTAAATATCATTCAAGATATGTGATACTTTTTTAACTGAAAGGAATGGTGCTCAGATAACGTTAAGATGTGTCGTTTTTTAACCCAGATGTTTGGTATGAAGGGGAAGGTAATCGACGAGATTGTGAAGCTATATCGATCGAGATGGTAATTTCAGCCAATATAGGTTTAGGCTGGAAAAGAGTTCATGGTGGTCAAATCAAAACATGAAACTAATCCATGAATTCTTTGACTGTTGGTTTGGGTCACGTAGGAAGGAGTAGACTGGTTGACTTCAAGAGCCAGTCGCTTGGGAGAGTTGGTGACCTGGTTCAAAATTGTTCTCATTGGCGTGGATGCATTCATTCTTTGTAATCTTCCAAATCTATGAAATCCTCATGTTTCTTCATGCACTTATTATCTGCAGTCAGAGGCGTTACCACTGTGTTATTTGCTCTCTTGATTGATGTCCTGTTTTTTCGGTCATTAATATGATGTCTCTATGTGGTTTCTTTATTGACTAATGTGTCTTTGGTGGAAATAGTGTAACGATGGAAACATATGTAATGAACTGATAAATGAGGGTGTAGAAAGGAGTATTCCTAAAGGAACTTCCTCGAAGATGCACGATAAACGTAAATTTTCTATTCAACAGAGGGATTTATAAACAGTCAGATGGTTTTTCTATGAGATCACTACTAGATCCAATCCTCGTAGACTTTTTCCTCGGGAAACTGTAGAATGGCCCTCGTAAAGATGCCTTAAATGATCTCGATTGATTCTGTTGTTGTGGTGATGATACATTTATAATCTTATGGAACTGAAAGTGAGGCAAGTTACCATAAGGTTTACTAAAGAATATGATTAGAATAACTTTATCTCGTTTCTGGATGTTCAAATGACAAAATGACTGGATGGAACAATATGCAAAATCTTACTTCGCAAAGTCTACACCGACTGGCTAATTCGATCACTTCCTGAGTTTCGTCCGTACTAGAGTTATTTGTTTGGATGAAACAACCAAGAACTCACAAGTGTTAGTAACCTGATAATTAGAAACGAATATCCGATGATATTTTTGAATAAACGCATGGATTTAACAAGTAAAATGTCCAGGGTCCCTACAGTTTCGAAAAATTTAAGTGACCTTAAGACTACAGTTCACGAGAAATCTTAATAGTGAGATTGTATCTCAACGTCTAATACAAGCCTTCAAAAAAGGGCTTTCAACTCAACTAAGCTATGCTGCTTATTCACCACTCAACCCATACTTGTTTCATGAAATAAAAACAAACTATCTAATTTCATCTCTTTCGTGTGTATTTATCAGTTTAACTGCTCCTTCAGAGCTAGTTCTGTTGGGCGTACGATTAGAAAAGTTCATAGTCGAATTTGTGAACAATACCCACCCACACCCCATTTCGGTTAGGCAAATGGCCGAATAAAGCTATACACAGCTTAATACTAGCTCATCTCGTCGATACTGCACATTAAATGAACACTAACAAAGCTTTTAAAGTTATTTATCATATTTCACCCAACTTCTCGCATGCTCTACGAGTACGACTTTTGCATACAGGAGTGGTAATCAGAATAAACCTGAACAAGCCAAATCTGTGCCTCAGTTCAAAATAAATCTGTGCAGTCCCTTTACTTTGTCTTGGCCATCTATATAATGTGTACAAAGTCTTACAAGTGAATTTCCCCCATCTCCTGTAGCCATCAGTTGACTCTGTTATTTCATTAGGATTGCTATCCTAGCTTATTTGTATCTCGGTATTCTTACACGATTCGTCTATCTATTCTTTTTAGTTATCGTTATTTTAAAAATTATTGATTATGTGATAACTTGTTACTCACTTTTTACAGGTTAACTGATCTTGAATTCCGTAATTATTTTCACCCTTCCTATACCTGAAAATTTATATTCTTCTTGTTGACTGACAGTAATCACATGATTAGTATATTAGTGTAGAGCTATTGATAAGGAACTGATTGCAAGGGGATTTATTTCTTCACTCAATTTGTTGTTCTTTCTAAATGGAGAAAGAATTTTTGTTCTATGGATGTTTATTCTTATTAAGTGACAATCTAGAAATGTTTATGAAATTTTTCTTAACTCGTGAATGTTAGTTGTTGCTTCAGTATTCACCAGCTTCAGTATTCCATTTACAATTACTACAACAACAACAACTCAATTCTGGACAAAATGTTTACACACTGTACAAAATTCTCAGCTTAATCTATTGCACAATATTTTCTTTTAGTCCGGAATCTTCGAGTAAACCAGTAAATTATAGTACATCACGTGACTCAACGATGTTCCATCTGTAGCACATACCGATCCCTTATTATGTTCCTATGCATTCCTGAGAAATACACAGTTAACGATGTGCTTGAGGACATTTTGCAACCAAATGACGTAACTGAATAATTAAAACTGTAGGAACTATGGAAAAGTTGATATATATTATGTTAGGTGGAAATCCATTCAAGCAAGCCGCCAAGACATTTGACTAAAAGAAGTAAATTGTTGTGTGCGCGTTGATAATAATCTAGTTAACTTTTACGTGGTGTATTGACCCTGATGAGTTGAGAATTAGTGAAGTTTTGTTTGACTTTCTCCAACTTGCTTTATGTCATGGAGAATACATTGGGTTATCACCTAAGGAGGGTTAAGTGTACTTGTGATCGCAGAATGTAATCATTCATTTCGGAAGGTCTGCGAAGATTGAGTGCTTTAATATCATTCTCCTCTTAATATTGTTTTTTATTTGATGGATGATTTAAAGGTTCTGTGCGTCGGTGGCACAGTGGTTAGGACTCTCGCCGACCATGCACATGGTCCGGGGTTCGATCCCCTGCCGACGCACACCCGATATCTATGGTCGGCCTGCGAAATTTGGGCTACCGATATCCATGCTGAAAATACCATACTTGTACTGAAAATACGGTGTGGCATCAAGCTGTAATGAAAAAAAAAATAAAAAAAATAAAGATGACAGTCCACTGTAGGAAGTTTTAAAGCTACATCTCCTCAGGTGGTTGGTTGGTGGCATGGTTGCATAAGCAAGATAAGATTGAAAGAGGCTGAAGCGTGACTAGACCAAAATGTAGTATGCGTCTATGAAGTTACCAGCTATTGGTTTGTACTAGGTAGTTTATTTGGTTGAGGGAAATGTGACCACAAGACCCTGTGTCTAGGGACTGTGAGTTTTGTGGCTTCAAATCATTCGCATTGATACAGACCTATTCATATATCTCATCTTCATCTTTAATTGTAATATCACGCTTCTCTGTTCATTTAACCTTTTTCAGCTTCTTATTTATATGGATCGTACAATTTTCAGTTATATTATTCTCATTTCCGTGTCTTATGTTAATGATAGTTCATTTGATGATAATGTGAAGGTGTCAGGTGTGTAGCAACTTACATTACTACTGTGCAGTACTCCTATGTTTACAAGGTCGGTCGGTCGGTTTTCGACAGAACTTTGCACTGATGTGCGGCACTTCAAGTCGCCACACTCCATGTAGCACACAAAGCAAGAGAAGAAAGTAGGAGAAATGCATAATATAGACAGTAAACAGAGGTGTGAGACAAAGGAATAGTAATAACGAAGAACAAAACAGTTTCATTGGAAATCATGAGTCACAAGGAGTGGATGCATCTGCGCCACTGAGAACGATGAGTTTGAGCCATGTCACCAATTGTTTCCATCCATTGGTTTTTACCGTCCCTAGGACCCCAACCTGTCAGGAAGTCTACACCTTCCTACGTGGCTTAGACTAACTGTTGTAAATTTCATTTCATTTATTTTTGCTTCAGCCATATTTAGCATGCTTTTTTCTCTCACAAAATATTTCATAAAAGTGACTTTTGAAAAGGCCTGAGTTGAGGCCTATCGTTTAATTGTGAAATGCATTCAGTAAGTAATGATGCAAGACTGTAGAGCTATTGTAGTTTAAGTAAAGCAATCCTATTATATTACTATTATTCCCTTGGGTGCCGAGTGGAACATAAGGCTTCAACAACACATCTTCACTTTGTTCTATTTCTTGCCGTCGTCTTCATCTGGGTCCGCGATTGACCATAATCTCTCATCTCCCCCTCGTATGATCTCCTCCATGTCACCCTTGCTCTGATGACTCACTCTTCGCTTTCCATTTCGATTCCACTCGAGTGATGGCCTGGCGCGCGATATCATTTGACGGTCTCCTCAAAGTATGCCCAATCCATCTCCATTTTCTACTACATATTGATTGAGCGATCGGCTCTTGGTTGGTTTGTTGCCAGTTTCTTTTTACTAATTCTTTCTGACCAGCCATTTGACCTTCAGTGTAGAGCCATGGAGGGCAGCTGTTGATAAAAGCATGGAGTAGCCTGTTGGAAATGCTTTTCATGACGCGCAGTGCAAGTTTATGACCCGTATAGAAGAACTAACTGACTGACTTCACATTTGTGTTGAAAATCCTAATCTTGTTCTGTATGTTGTGGAGTGCAGTAGATTTTCAAACTGGTTTCATTTTGATGAAGACGTATCTTGCCTTTCCGATTCTGGCCTGCTTTGACATCTTCATCCGTTCCTAGTCCCTGTGGTTGAAAGGATGATTCCTAGATAAGTGAAGGGGGTAACCTGTGTCAAATCTCTCCCTATGATGGTGATTGGTGCTGGTTGTTGATGCTTTTGCTGTTAGTTGGTTAACTTCATCACCTCCGTCTTCTCTATGTTCAACTGGGGTCCTGTCTTCGCCGGCTGCTTCTTCAGCCAGTTTGTTGTAAAACAATCCTGTAACCAATTAAATTCCTGCAAACCAACATCTGACAGAATGCTGAAGAGTATTCTAGTCGACACTAAACCTTGTGAAGTTATGAGGTTCAATGATGCTTAAATGGCTGGAAATTTGAGTATATCTATACAGGTATTTATTTATTTATTATTATATTTTTGTTTCCTTTAATTCCTAGAGGAACATAGGGCTTCAGCCGTGCGTCTTCACTGCGTTCGGTTCCCTGCTAGAGTTTTCACCTGGCTCCAAGTCTGCCCACACGCTTTCATCTCCTCTTCACATGACCTCCTGCAAGTCACCCTTGGACGACCGCCTCGCCGCTTCCCTTTCAGGTTCCACTCGAGCACTGGCTTGTCTAGTGATGTCACTTATTTATTTAGTTAGTTTTTACCAATTTTTGGTCCAGCCACGCTTCTTTCTCTCTCTCAACCGAGTAGTTCCCACTTCTGTTAGCATAGTATTATGAGATCAAACAGTCGGTTGGTGAATCCACTGGGTACATTTTAAAACTACTTGTGTTTATGTGAAAGTTAACAGTTTGATTTAATCTATTTATTTTAAACCTTTGTTTCATATTAATCTTAATTCTGTGTACCTTATTTCTGTTCATTTTAGGTGAAACATTTGAACTACATCCACGTGATCAAGTGAATCATCATCCGAGTATTGTGATTACACCGTGTGAAAGTGATCCAGTATACAATAAAAGTGGTGCAAAACTTCAAATTATACAGACTAAATGTCCAGATCGTAAATGATGTCAACGACAATTAGGATGATGATTAAGATGTTGGCACAGCGAGAGAATACCTTCAAGTAATTGAGCACACTGAGAACTTTGTTAAATTTCAGTATTTGTGATAATTGGACAAACAGAAATATTAAAAGAAGAAATAAGGAAATACATCCTACTATTACTGTCTTTCTATGATCTCTATACATAAACACATACACACACACACACACACTAGACTATACACCTTCTCTTGTCATTAACATTCTCAGCAGACAAAAACGCCTTTTTTTTCTGACGTATACAGAAAACAGCGGATATAATTATTGTTATTGTTAAGATGACCGGTTAACATAAACACATAAACACACATATTCATACGCTCTACATTGATGAATACGTTTCCTGGCCCACAGCTGTCGTGTTTATATCTTCATTCATTCATTCATGCATCATCAACGCCATCTCTCTCTCTGTCTCTTTGTTTATCCTTTCTCAGGTGAGTACCACTCTTTGTTCTCTTGCCTCATGTTTGTATTTTTTTTATCTTTCTTCTTCTTCTGTGTGAATGGCGTGTAGCTTTTTCTACTTCATTTTCTTTCCTGTTATTGTCATTATTACTATTATTATTATTATTTTGTATGCACATGTTACTTCCCTGTAAGGGTTACCTCGCTAGTTAATAATAGTATAGTAATCACGTCGTCTACTTCACCCAATCAATCACAGGGTGAGTATTATTATTATTATATGTGACTTGGATTATATTTTTATTCTTGCCATTGAGAGTTGGGGAGGGGTGTTGCGTATTTCTGTTGCGTAAACAACAACAACAACAAAAGCACCCCCGCCCACATGGTTTATTATAATTATAAATTTTTATATGATGTAAGTTTTATTTTTAGTTATCTTGAAAAATTGCGTATACATCTTGTTTTCTTCATTTACACGCTAGTGTTTACATCTCTTATGTGCTATTTTATGTTCTGTTTGTCACTATGATAATATGGCTACTTTCATTATTATTATTATTATTATTATTATTATTTTCATATGCTTTCTTCGTGTACACATGATGCAACTAACACAGTGTGTATTAAGGCATGATGTGCGTTTGTGATGTATGTGTGAGTGGGAAGGAGAGGTCGGAGAGGTGGAGAGAGAGAGAGAGGGAGAGTACGTGAGTTAGGGGGGGGGGAGATAACAGCTGACTGCGTTTTTTTAATGCATAAATGAATGACTGCCCATCATTCTCCTTTTAAAGGAAATTGCATTTCATGACGATGATACTGATTTTATTTTTACCACACTCTATACATGATAACTCTTAGTTGTTAGTATCACATTCTCACATTTCATCAGTTTTTCTTTGACCACCTATTCATTTTATTTATTTATTTTATTTTATTTATTCATGTATTCACTTGAGTTACACGAAGATGTTGGTTATATTTGAGTATATTTGAGTAATCTCTTGTCTATTCTGAAATATATGTGATATTAAGTTTTGCTTCAATTTCGTTTTTTTTTAATTATTGTGTCTATAAGTTACTACTTGCAGCTGGGTTGGATTGTAAATGGTTGGTTAGTGTTGTCGGGTTTACAGATTCTGGAGTCAGCTCTGAAGGATGTGCGTGAAGGTGGTGTAGATCTGCTACCTGGAGATAAACTTTTCGACCTCGAGTATGCAGACAATATCGTCTTACTGTGCGATAGCATGCAGGCTGCCCAAATCGCACTTAATCAGTTGGTGATCAGTGTCTGTAAGTATGGTATGTGCTTTGCACCATCTAAGTACAAAGTACTGTTACAAGATTGGCAGGAGCCTGTATCTGCACTCACTCTTGCAGGTGAACCGCTTGAAGTTGTTGATAAGTTTGTGTATCTGGGTAGTTCTGTTAGTGCTGGCGGAGGGGTGACGGATGAGATCTCCAACTGTATAATGAAGGCATACATCAACTTGAGCCACCACTGGCGCCGTCGCTACGTTAGCCTGGCTGTCAAAGGTCGGGTATACAATGCTTCGGTGCGGGCTGTCTTGCTCTACGCCTGTGAAACCTGGCCTTTCCGAGCTGAGGATGTGCGGCGACTCTGCGTGTTCGATCATCTCTGTCTCCGCAGGATTGCTTACGTTCTATGACATCATCGCGTGAATAATTCTGAAGTTCGACGGCGTGTGTTTGAACACAGTGGAGATTACCATTCTTTGAGTGTCGTCATCTGGAAACACCGGCTCCGGTGGCTTGGACATGTGCTGCGAATGTCATCCCAGAGGCTTCCGTACAGGTCTCTGTTCGCTAGTCAGCCCTGGGACGGGATGGAAAAGACGGAGGGGTGGTCAGTCCATGACGTGGCGTCGTGGGATGAAGGATATTTGTGCTAGATTAGCATCGGTTGGTGCGTCACGACTCCCTGGTTGGGGTCCGCGAGATAGCTTGAAACGTTATCGGATATGGCCAAGAATCGTAATCAATGGCGAACGTGTTGCAATTTTCTTCTTTCTTCCCTTCCTAATGATAGTTAACGAATACTGTTTGAACTTGTTAAACATGACTGTTTTCCTTCCAGATGAAGTTCTTTATCCGTTTTCTACTTATATTTTTACTTTTAATCTATGTTGTTTTACTATTATTGTGTGGCGCATCTTTCTTGGTGCCATATTGTACCAAGTTTTTTCTGCGTTTAAATAAATAAATAAATAAATATGGGTTTACAGATTATACACAGGAGATTTTGTAGTTAAGTTGGAGATTCTGTTAACAAAGATATTACATAAGTGAAAAGGATCAGTAGTTTACATTTCTTATTGCTTTATACACATGCAGATATGATACTTAGAAATATGTTATTTAGTAAGAATGCTGAGGTTTCAACCAATACTCGCCGCAGATGATGGATGACATTAGCTGGTGCCAATCACTCTAAAATCACGAATTAGTGGAAATTAGAATTCATGGACTGGCCATTAAGTTGGGTCCCAGTGGTTGAATTGTCTATGAGCCTGGCTTGTTCCTGGGTTCGAACTCTGGTGGTCGAGTACTTCTGAGGAGTCCGAAACTAGGACAAAACAGTTGTCTAGTACTCAAATGCTGGTTTTCAGTGGTTCTGTAACTGATACCCACCCTTTTTTAAACTTACACCAAATCAAATCTCTATTAACTAACTCTTGAATCTTACCTAGTCATTTTATTGATTGACCTTTCACTGTAAAATGTGACAAAGATTTGTTAAATTTAGAAAGTACTTTAGTAATATTGTACTTTATAAGACTACTCTCAGGTTGTCCTTGAGGTAGCCAATCAAAATGTAGATAAGTGGTAAGTGAAGTTTCAACTATATTAACAGTTTGCATTATCTATCTTCTTAGACTATTAATAGAAAGAACCGCGTTGGAATCACATCTTTTCTTGTTCAAAAGATGTGATACTCTATGCAATTTACGTTTATTTTCGTCATTTAAAAAATACCCATTAAAATTTTTTCAAAAGAATGGATACTGAACAAAGAGTACTCTTTTCGATAACCTCTTCTTCATCAGGCTCTACAGTTATATATACATTATAGTGAATGAATGAATTAGTGTCATGAACAACACTCATGTTGTTTAAATAACAACGAATCAATAATATTGATAGATTACAACTGAATAGCATCAACACTGAATATCAGAGAAATTAGAAAAGATAATAATACAAATTCATGAATTTATAGTCTCTACTGAAGGCCAGAGCAGTGGTAGGGACTGGACTTGCTTCTTTTGAACACAGAACACAGGTTGTTTGAGGCGAATTGCAATAGCCTCTACTTTTTGGAGCATGTGGTGCTTCGATGATGATTTTGGCAATTTATTAGGCACCCGGTAGATGATAGAGAAGGATTCTTCCACATTGGCTTTGTGGCCGGCCGGTTTGCACCAGATGGTCCAATATCGAACTGTTAATGGTTTTCACTACACCTTTACTTAGCCATAGTGGGCGATGTTTTTGAGCACGAAAAATCAAGTTCCTAGAGCAACGGACAATATAACTCGCTCCACAGCAAGCGCGGTTGAATTGGTAGATACAATTTGAAGTGGCTAGCTAGTCAAGGTACTTCATCTTTCAGTCGAGGTAGCACCATCGGTCGTGTAGAGAATAAGACGTGTAGTTCGCCAGCATTAAAAGTTCTTTGAACTGATTTTCTTAATTTCCTCGTAATTATCTCACTTGGTATATCGCCCTTGAATTGTAGTCGTATATAAATTGGCTTCTTGTTTACAGTGAGTAGTCCTTTTCCGCTTTCTTTGTCATATGTTTCTTGATAAATGTTCAGAAGAAGTAATTAAAGATGAATTAAGCATTGTGTATGATACTTTGATCAAAAATAGCTTATTCATTCATTCACTATAATTATAACTGTTAAAAATTTTCAGAGTGATTTAGAAAATAAAATTAGCTGTAATAAAATGCTTGAATTGACTCATTTTTTTCATAAATTCAGTTTCGATATTCATCAGAAACTGTGTGTTATCGCTAAATTTTGTCGTACTACTGAACGTTTAACGTTTAATAATAAACCACGGAATTTCCTCTACAATAGGGATATTTCCAAGGTAGATCACGAACTGACATCAGTCAAAGAAGCACTGAAATTCAGGGAGTACTGGATGATTGTTTCATCCTGCTCTGATACTCTTCGTAGGTACACATCTATGACCTCACTGGTTACTAAACACAGGAGCTTCAGGTTAGGAGACAGATACTGTCTAACAACATTAACTGATAGAAGTTGGAATTTGTGGATTACTGGAATCCGTCACACCGGCTGAACAGTCAACTGGTTCTGTGTTATCTGAAGGTCCTAGGTTTGGTCTGCAGTGGGATCATGATTTAACAGTCTCGAACTGGGATGAAACAACCAGTCCAATATTCAGTGGTGATAACGTAATCTTTGGCTTTAACCTCACCTCCGTTTTATAATTTGTAATTCTGCTCGTCTCTTGTTTCTATGATATGAGTTGAACTCAGTACATTGTTACCTAATTTATTAGTCACTCAGCATCCCTTTAAGCACCTTTCGTCTTTATCAAGTAACTCCTTTACCATTATATGCATACATTTACTTTGTTTAAACTTGAACTGCCTGTGTAAAATCTATATAAGCGCAATTTTCTGAGCGCTGTTCACTAATTGTGGAACCTTCTGTCAACTGACACTATGAAAAATTTGCAAGTATGTTAAAACTTTTCTGTACATAAACCTCATAATTTATTTAGACTGTAAGCAGCTGAGCTGATGAGAAGCCAACGAAATAAACAATGATGGTACCATATTATTCTGCACAAACCACTGTTGTTCTTGCTTTTTTCAAATTCATCAAGGGGAATAAATGCATGAAGTAACTGAGGTGGGTTGTGAACTAACTGTAATTCAATCAGATCCTTAAAAATCAACATTTGAAATCAAGAGTCTTCCCCACCACAGACAAATGCATACTTCAGTATTTTACTGCGGTCGCCTTCATTATCTTTGGCGGAAACTAAGAGGTGAGATACCGTTGTCAATAGGATTTTATTGACGCACAAATTACTACCTGGTGTTCGAATCACTAGCCGCTAATTACACATTTCGAGGCGAAAATCCGCCACAGTATCCTTTGAAAATCAAAAGTACTTAGATCACAATACGTAATCTCCCTAATATCATA